TCCATATTTAATCAAATAAAGGCATTGTATTTTCTTTAAGTATTTGCTTTGAAAATATCGTTTTTCCCCACTTGCCATTTATAATAAACAGTCAAAATTATATTCCGCTTCCCATGGGAAATTCAGTTCCTTCCATTGTATGAGCCCAGCCTCTTATTGTTAGGTTATTCAGGAGTACAAGGCTGTTGGAATGGTTTTGTTTTGCCTTCAGCGAAAGAGCAGCAGCACATTTTGTCCTGGCAAACATTGCCCATCCTTACATTGGCAAAGAGGAAGGATCTGGCAGCAGATTTCACTGCAAAATGGCACAATGTACATGGATCTAAATCCTGGATGTAAAATTCCCAATATTGTGTGGCTTTCTCTGATTTCCTGACCTCAGCAGTGGCCCAGCAATCAAATGATTATGATTTAAACTTTGTAAGTGTTTAACATACTGTAAACAAAGTAGACAAAGTGAGTTTTTAGCTTTGACAGAAATACGTTGATGAGCAAGAAAGCCTGTGTGATATCAGTAATAGTGTTTATTTTTAAAAGGATTTTTTAACAAAATTACCTGATCTGTGGTTAAAAGATAACTGAGAAAAACTTATCGATGATCTTCCTGTGATTTCTTGACTTTTCCTCTTTTCACCTCCAAGTCACTGTACATCGTAGCTTGATTTGTAGGTCCAGCTACGTCTGATCACATACTTGTGTGCAAGCTCAATGAAATCTTGTTTTTTCTCTTTAAAGAAAAATAAATGGTAGAATCCTGCTGATGCTGTCTTCATACAGCTGGTATGTTTGTACTTTATAGGAGAGGGAACAATAACAAAGAGTATTACTCCTGTGACTCACAGGGATTATGGCAGTTTCAGACTTCAGTGAGACAGGTGCTACCAATGACCGTCAGGATTGAAAAGGACTTTCTGGTGATTTAATTATACATCATTAAGGAAGGCTGCATAACCCTGCACAGAGCAAAGCTGGTATGCTCATGTAACCTCATCCTGCACGTATCTTTGCATGATGATGTTCATTAGGACAAGAGCACTTAGGGATGACTTCCCTCTTGTAAGTTACACGGAGTGAGTAGAGAATGTGTGATAAAGGTAGAATTGCTAGTAAATGTTCAAGGAATGTCAGTGGGAGTGGTCAGGGTGCTATGCAGTATGCTTAGGGTTAATGCAGCTCAGTCGGCTTCGAGCCCACTGCCTGTGCCACGATCCAGCAGAGCAGAGCTCTCTGCTATTGGCTGAGGGCAGGGGAGGGAGGCAGAGGAGAAAATCCACGCTTAATTTAGGCAGTGACGAATGGGTTGCTGTGCAGGATGTTTCACTCCTGCATGCCTGGGGTGATGCAGATGCTAAAAAGGGAAATGCGTTTTCTCATTGCATCTTCACAAGCAAGGTGTTGTGGATGGCAGCTCACCCTGGCTTGCATCTTCTAATGAGGCTGCTTAAGGTGGCTGCAGGGTGGAGTTCTTAATCATACATAATATTAGTGTCATGCTGCTTTCCCTTGTCCTGTCCCCCCGCTTTTCCCTGCTTTTGGGATGGCTGACTCCACGTTCAGCTACAGCTCTTTTGTCTTTCTTGTCATTTGCTGTTGTATCTGGACACGTAAAACAGCTCAGAAGGGTGTCATATTTGATTCTAGAGCAGAAGTAGCTTAAATATGTGAGGGCATTTCCTCAGATTGAACAGGCCTAGTCAGAGTACAGGAAAGGCACAACAAGTTGTTCACTATCTGGCAGAGAGCTGTTCAGGAGGTTTTTGCTTTGCTGAAAAATGATGCTGTCAGCTAATGCTCATATGAGAGAGGGTAAATTCATCTTTTCTGCACAATATCTGAGCAAGAGGGCATTGCCTGTGGAGGCTACAAGGGAGGGACTTGCAGCTGTTGGTGCCTCAGGCATCCACTGCATGTATCAGTGTATGTGTTACTTCACATTTCTTAGGAGAATTAGTGCTGTGGACTGTCCGATCTTAAATATTCCTTCAGCTGAAACAGAATTCCACATATTGCTTTTGTGGTATGCTTTTCTTTATATCCTGAATACTCACTCATGCGTTTTAAGCAGTACCTTGCACTTCCCCTCTCCTCTGCACTACGTTGGCCCAGCTGGATGGGTAGCTGTGTAGTGAACGGCAGCAGTGAACAATGTGGGTTATATGACTAAAAAAGAGCTGAGCAGAGCTTGGGGCTACAGGGGCACAGTCTGTTCAACCCAGGTGGGAAGCCAGAGACAGAACCATGCTGGAAACCACTGAACAAAATTTTGAGGGAGGGTTTTCAGATTTTTGTGTACAGGTTTGGCCACATATGGTAGTGGAACCTCACGGTTGTTTTACCTCAGGCCCTTGTGTTTGAGGCATAAGCTGGTTACAGGCTAAAGCAGGTTGTGCCTAGTGTGATACTGAGACCCTGCCTGCATATGCTTTGTGCTGATGACATTCAGCCAAAGGCTTTAATATGCTTCATGCAAGCTCAGGGTCATAAATGGCTCTTATTTGTAGAATTTGGATTAATAAATGGGCTTTTCTTTGCCCAACCCTGCATTATTTGCTCTCTATTTTGAGAGATAATAATTGCTAGCTTCTCACCCACATACTGTTCTGCAAGAATTAAAATCAGGTTTAGTTAAAAGTCATTTCAGCCTAATAAGACTACACAGTTTGCTTGCTTTGATTTTAGGCATTCATTATGTCAGCAACTGGAAATAATGATATTCACTTACTCTTTCTGGGTTCCTTAAGGTGTTTTGCAAAAGTAAGTAAATGTCATTATTGCTATTGAATAGTAAAAACATACAGCTGTCAGTTGGGAAACACCACCTCTGGCTTTCAAGAAGCAAATAAACAGGCCGACATAGTTCCTGGATCTCTCTGTCCTCCATGTTACTGCTATTTCTACCAGTAAAGATTGATAACGGGCTGGGTAGGCCTGCTATAGGGCAGTTCTTATATTCTGACCACGTCAGAAATATAGTGAAACAAAGAGCTTTGAAAATCTATTCCTTGGTTCCATATCTGTGAAATTTCAGCTTTGCAAAGCTTTTTTGGATAAAGCTGAAAAAAAGCATGGAAAATACAGCAGATTTTTGGAGGGATTATTATACCAGGAATGTATCACAGTTTGGCAAGAGCGTAGGTCAGGAATGTGGAAGCTGGCACAGCAGGGAGAATCAGTTGTTCTAGGAAGCTGAGAAACTGGCTGTTTAAAGCTGCAATTCAGCACCCACTGAGATTAGGGGGAGTTCTTATTTATTGACACAGTTTATAGATAAATGGCACGTTTTCAAGCTGGAAGGAACCCCAAGAAGTAATGTTGTATCCTCCCCAAACCATAGCATGATTAGTGTACCAAGGGCATGCAGACACATGTTTACTTGGCTTCCCTCTCAGCCTTGTGCTGTAAACTTCAGAGCCTTTCATGCTGACCTGTTCTAGTCTTTGCTGTCGATATGTAGTAGCACGAAGCCTTGAGCTGGCATGTAAGAGCAGAGGGATCCATCCTATCCTGTCAGTCCTTGTCATTGCATGGTTTCAATTTGTAACATCTGTCCTCTAGAGCAAAGCCCTGGGATTAAACCACTTCTGGTTGCTTTTCAAGTTCAAGTCATGTCATTGGTCCCTGATTTGCTCTTTGTTACAAGATATCATGGTGCTTGAGCCCTTATTCTTCAAGGATTTGAGGAGATGAAGAATACTGATAGACAATGGACAAATAGCAACCTGGTTAGCAGGAATGCCCATCGTACACTTAGGGCTCTCATTGCTCATTATCCAGCAAACAAAAGCGAGGCCCTCAGTGTCAAAAGGAGTGGTTCCTCTTCCTGTCAGTCGTGACAATAAGCTTAGACTCACCCTTTTGCAAGGTGTGGTGTTACCTGGGCTGTAAAATCACCATCAGATGGTGTCCAGGCTGTACCTGTTCAGACTGCTGGAACTGGTCTTGGCTTGTGGCTATCTGTTGGTGTTTTAGGCGTGGGGAGAGAATGTTACATTCATGAAAGGGACATTGATTTTGAGATAAAATACAAGAAAAGCTTTGTTCCAGGCTGTCTCCTCTGTGGCTGCCAAGCATGTCTCAGTTGATGGGCATTCCCTTTCTGCTTCACTGCTCTTGCAGGCCTTCCCTCCATCCCCCGCAGCCAGACACAGAAGTTCTAGCACAGTGCCTGCAATTCAGTGCTGCTTCCCTCATCAGTCTCTTCAGATCTGACCAGGAGATCTCTGAGTATCTTATATCTGAATGGAGAGGAATGGGAGCTCGGGGCTGAAGCAGCTTTGTGATGTGACGTGAGAGATAGTGGCATCCTCAGGGATGGAGGGCATTTGCTGGCTCTGGGCTTCAGGTTTGCTGTCTGCCTTCAAGTTGTCTTCCTGAATCACAGAGAAAACTGAGCTATGACTGCCAGGTCCCTGAGTGAGAGTCTTCGTGCCTATTAAAGACTATGAGAGCTGCTGTTTTCCACACCTGCTGGTGGATCACAATATGCCCTGTCATACAGCATTTAGTGTGGTCATACTGCTGTCACCATCACCTCAGTCCCTTGCTAAAAAAACCACTCTGCCTGTTCCCTGGCCGGGATGTGCCACCACTCACTGTCGGGACGGATGTGTGGGCTTTGCTGCCACCCAATGGGGACTGCAGGGCTCCCTTCCCAGCACCGCTGAAGCAGTGTGGATCTGAAAAAAACTGATTCCTCTAGAAGGTATTTTTCTAAGTGGTGCTTTATGTAGCTGCTTCCCAGCAAAATCTGAGGTTTGTACTGAGCTTGCCTGGCAGTCATTGAAACACAGCATGAAAAACAGAAGAGAGACTTTCTGCCCTGTGCTGACTGTCTGTACTGAAAAAGACTACAAGACCTGGGAGACTCTGAGGAGAGGAAGATGTTTGCGTAGCCATGGAATTCTCCTCTTTGCTTCCCAACTGTAGCAATTGCTGTGTGGTTAATGAAGACCAATGAACCAGATAACTGACAACAAATGCAATTGTTTGTTTATTTGCAGATTGTGCTGGCTGTGGAAGAGACATAAAAAATGGACAAGCATTGCTAGCTCTCGATAAGCAGTGGCACCTGGGGTGCTTTAAGTGCAAGGCCTGTGGGAAGGTCCTGACTGGGGAATACATCAGCAAGTAAGTAGCCTCTGCATCTCTCCTGCACTCTTGGCATGAGTTCTGGTTGCTGGAGGAGAGAGGTTCCAGCAAAGTTCACCCTTCAGAATCCAGTTCTGATTAACTTTTCATATGCACCAAAATCTTTGCTCTCAATTGGAGCTAAGTTGGAAAGAGAAAGTATACTGGAAAGGAACAGCTGGAAGGTGGTGATACTCTGTATTTAACACCAGTACCGAAGGGAGTGTATCTCCACATTGCCATAAGGGGTTGAGGGAACTCCTACATGTGTTTTCTGTGTTAGCTGGATACAGCTTTGTTGTATTTTACTTTTCAACTTTGATGTTGAGGAAAAAAGTAGGAACCTGCCCACTGTTTTCTTTTGCTTGGAAGAGAGTAAATATGATGATGTGATTGACCTGCACTGTTTCTCAACACAAGCAGCTGCTTACTCTTTGCATACTACCAGATTTCTTTGCTAAATGGTTTCCAATCATCCCCATAGGCAGAGTTCCACAGATGTCTCTGGAATTGTACCACCTATAGCTTTAGTTTGGAACAGGTTGCCCAGAGAGGTTGTGGATGCCCCATCCCTGGAGGCATTTAAGGCCAGACTGGATGTGGCTCTGAGCAGCCTGGTCTGGTGGATGGTGACTCTGCCCATGATGGGGGGATTGAAATGAGGTGATTATTGTGGTTCTTTTCAACTCAGGCCATTCTATGATTTAGAAAGACTGTTGTTAAGATGAAATTTACTTCAGTGGTTTGTGCTTTGTCTTTCTGAGGTGGAAACTTAAGGGATAGTTATAAATCAATGGTGAGAATATAATTTTTTTTTTCTTCTTTCTTTTGCTACAACATACATCTTTGAAAATCTCTCCTATTTGGCTATTGCAATTTGTAAGAATGCCAATGAAGACAAGGCAAGAAACTAAGTCACGCTGTAACCTGTTTATTAAAAGTGGTTTATACTTTGTGGTTTTTCTTTTTTCAGAGATGGTGCTCCTTATTGTGAAAAGGACTATCAGGTTCTTTTTGGAGTCAAGTGTGAAGCATGTCACCAATTCATTACTGGGAAAGTACTAGAGGTAAGTGCTTTGTAAACTGGAGTTTAAGATTTTGGCCACATCCCATTATGTCTTCATACAACTGCAAAGAATGCAGAAACTTCTCCTAGGAAAGTTTTACTGCTGATTTTAGAGTAAAGGTACTCACTTTCAGAAACATTTTTATGTATCTTTTGTTGACTTTCAGTTGGAGACATCAGTGTTCTCTTTGCATCTGGCCAAATCACTTTAGAGTTGTGTATCTTACGTTGTCACTACTGTCTCCCATGGCTGTGAGTAGTCCTTGTGAGATGGAATCCTTGAACTATGCACAGATCGCTTCATGTCATCACAAAAATATTTAACGAACAAAAATGCAGGGGTCTTTCCGTGTGCTGTTATCATTGAGATGAGAGAAGCAAAACTGCTGCCTCTTTTCCACACAGGATAGCATATTCAGTGGAAAGAACCTGACCTTCAGGCTTACGTCTGGAGCTGGGCTTGTATAGCTTAGTTGCTACTTTAGTGATGTTTAATACTCAGCCCTCCTTCCCTGGGGTAAAAATAAACCCCACATGCACATAAACACAATTCCCTTTACATAATAAAGTAAGTTGAAGAAATGTGAGAAGCAACAAGAACTTCAGTTACAGGTGTATTTTTTTGAAGAAGAAACTGGATTTATTTATTAGGGAATAACGAAAAATAGTGAAAGAGTTACTGAAATAAAAGCAGCTGTCATTTGCTCTTGAGGGCGTATTGCACGTTCTTGTCTTTGTCTACTAGAAGTGTAAGGCTGTAGCAGCCCTCATCAAAAAAGTTTCAGTTTTGTTGTGGAGTGGTAACAGCTTGACTTTCTAGGAGGTTTCAGAATATTAAGCAGGCTGGCTGCCCCCAAATGAAACACTGAGAGCTGCCCCCAAATGAAACATTGAGAGCGTGCCCAGTGCAGCTGTCTCTGCTTCCTCTGAGAGGGAATAGAGTTTTTCAGTTAGCCATGCTGCCTCCTTTGCAACATGACCTTAATTCTTTTAGACTCACACAGATAAGTAATGAGAACAGTCTGAGCTTTCCCTCGAGTAGAAAGGCCATGTCTCTGGTTTTTATCTGGAGGTCTACTACCATCTGCTTATCTATTCCCATCTACTGGTGAGTTTTTCAGTTTAGTGTTATGAATTGGTGACAGTGTAGTTGGAGTGGGAGGCACTGCTGGAGAGAAGTAATTAGATTTGTGAGACTGGGAAGCATAAAATAATTCTAAAATAACTTCAGATGCTATTCCTGCTGTTATTGTATTACTCGGAACTTATCCAATCTGTTGCTCAAAGCAGTGCTGTCTACTTAGAAGCATGGAGATGAAAATAATAAAGTGGAAGATTCTCTGAGTCTGTGGAGAGCTCTGAAAAAATGAGCCTTTGTGGTATGGATGCGAATATAGAAAAGTTGCATTCCTGTTGCTCTTTTTAATATCAATGAGAATGAAACCTAGCTTTCTGAAAGGATCTTGAGCTGTATCCTTTCAGAGCTGAATCAGATGAAGGTGGGAAAAGATTAGTTTAACTGAACTAGGACTCAGCTGTCCATCGTAACCTACTAAAGTTCAGGTTAACAGAGACTTTGTGTCCCACACAGAACCTTGTTGCAGTTGTTTGGGCCAAAGTTGGTAATTCTTTCTCTTCTGATGGCTGTTTATTGTAAGAAGAATAGACAACAGTTTGCTGAAATAGGAGTAATGGAAAAGGCATCTAACCTTATGTAAGGGTCAAAATTAGAGAAAATAGGGATTTTCCATTTGATTTAGCCTCTGCAGAATCAGAATATCTTCGTGAATTAGAAACAGACCCTTTGATGTTACAAATATATGGAAATATTAATCATGTAATCGTCTTAAGTTGTGCTTCAAGCAGAAGTTATAGTCTTACCAAAAGGTTGTGATTATCTGAGGCACAGCCCACAATAATACAGTAGAGGGCAGCAGTAGTTCTCAATATACAAGGAAGACCAAACAATAAAGCCTGTAGAAGCTGACTGACTCACATAACACAACTGTTTCCTGATATGTTTAAATGATGTTTGAAGCTGACTGCTATGTGGCAGGTGTAGACTGGGGCAAGTTCTTAAAGACTTTCACCAAAAAATGTAGTATTCTATAGTCATGGAGGCTGTTTGGAAATTGGTTTAACTGTTAGCAGCATGGATAGTCTGTGAATACAGGTCTCCTGGTATCAACTGGGAATGCAGGTGGGGGAGAGATGTTTAAGCACTTTTTTTCATTAGACTGCTCTTGAAAAGATGCTCAGAGAATACAACTGATGTTCAATAATATGTTAGTGGAACTATGGACTAGTTTCTTGGCTCCTCCTTAGAAGTCTTTTATACTGTCAACTATCACATTTTCAGAGGGGCATTACTAATGCCTTTAAATTAGACTAAAAGTGTAGTAAGTGGAAACTTAACGGTGAGAAAATCATGTCAGCATATGTGTCCCACTGAGCAGAAAAGGTAGTTTAGAGGATAGGGTCAGTGCATGACATAAATCCTCTGGTAACGAAGGAGATGAGAGATCAGAAGCAGCCAGGGCTGCTTGTCAATTACATGTTTGTTCTGTCAGGAGCAATATATACTATTTGGTGATCTTCATCTGTAGAGATGATTTGCAGATTGGAGGGAGTAGGTATGTGGCACGTTATATGCAAACACTTCCCTCTCGTGGATCAGAAGCAATCAGCAGCATGCTGGTTTTCCTAAATGGAAAGTTTGTAAAAAAGCAGGAAAACAAAAGAAACATGAAAACATGAAACTGAGCTTTCTTTGTGGAGGCTGGTGCTATCTGCTTCTTGAGTAAGAGTTAAAAATTTTTAAAGAAAAATTGAGATGCTGTGTGACATTTCAGACTTGCAGCTCCTGGTTGCTTCTGTCCCTCATTGTTGCTTAGCACCTCTGAAAAATCACGCCTTCAAACTTCTACACTGAGCAGTCAGTAAGGGAGGCAACCACTGATGAAGATGATGTGAGCCAAAGAGACCTCATCCCAGAGGACACCTTCAGCAAACTGGGTTGGAATCGCTGATGTTTCACAGAACATAGAATTCCTTAGGCTGGAAGGGATCTTAAATCACGTTCAGTTCCAGCCTGCTGCCATGGGCGGTTGCCACCCACCAGATCAGGGCCCAGAGCCCCATCCCACCTGGCTTGAGCACCTCCATGGGTGCAGCACCCACAGCTTCTCTGGTCAGCCTGTTCCAGTGCCTCAGGTTTGAGTTCAGGCCTTGAGAGGACAGAGTTTCTCCAGCCATTCTGTAAAAATAATTTATTTGCTCAGTTTTAAAATCCATTGCTAGAAAAACTGTCTTTTTTTTTTTTTTTTTTGCTTGTATCCATGTATCATGCAAGAAATTCCTTTTTTTCTGACTATTTGTGACCAATTTCAATAGCTGTAAAAATTATTATGTACATTTAAGTCAAATCAGATATTTGTCATGTTATTTTGTACGTAACTTCCTGTGACAGATAGCTGCAAATAACAGATGAGTCTGCATGCCACCACAATGAACGTCATGAGAATTTCTCTAATGAGAAATCGGTGCTGCAACTTTCTTTGGAGTACAGATATTTCAATACTTGAAAAATTTCAGGCTACTGTTGTCAAGGCAACAGAGATCAGTGTTGTTCCTTGGTTTTTCCAGCAGAAAGAAACCTTCATTTGTGGAAAAACTACCCATTTCCTTTTAAGTACAGGGAAACACATTTATTGTCAAACAATAATGGCATAACAGGCAGCCCTCACTATCGTTACACCTTCCACTATGCTATTGTTTTCATAGCTTCAAGGCTTGCCTATTGAAAGACACCCATCTGGTCCTAATCCTACAAATATCTGTGTAGATGGGTGAACTGCTGCGTGTATTTAGCTATTTTAAAGACACTGGCTTAAATCATTTTTGTCTAATGTGTTTATCATACACAGTATAATTATTCCTCCAGGGCTTGATTTAAAATATGTTAAATCACGGAGAAGCTTTCCATTGAAAGCTTCAGAGTACAGTGGATCATGCCTATATTCATGCATATCATTTGGGCTTACCTAAAGTGTTTTATGAAGCTCCTAAGTAGTTCCAAAGCTCCTTTTAGTTCTGCAGAAAGAAGACAAGGCGAAAACAGGTGAATAACTTACATGAAATCAAACAAAGCCTGAAAATGAGAATCAGGTGTGCAGATTTTCACCAGTTTTCTTTTATGAGGGTGTTCTTTTTTTATAGCACTGTTGTTTTTTGCTGTAAATGCTGTGTATTTGATCTCATGATCAAGATATATACAACTACCATATCTACTGTCAAATCCCACAACCATCTGGCTACTCTACACATTTGTTTTTTAATGCTACTTGCTTGTTATTCATTAGCAAATATAAAACCATTTTGTGATTTTTTTCCTGGCAATGCATGGCTTGAGTTCCTGTTCTGGTGGGCTGTTTCCTGAGCCCTGCTGAAACTTGCATGCCACCTTCTAAGCAGTGGCATGATGCCATTTTAACAGATGGCCCTGAAAAGAGAAATGTCAGGGAACCAGAAATCTCCTTTGACTTCACCCTGCATGGCCAAGTTTTACGTATTTCAATACAGGTATTTATTCTGAACTTCCCCTTATTAAAAAGAGGTTGAGTATACTTAAGAGGTAGCATTTACCATGAAGGAAGCGTAGTACTTCTAGATGTTGTGCTTTAATGTGCCAGAATTTAAAGATGTTTAATCTGTACTGCATGTAATTCAGAGATGCTAATTAGAAATTAATAATAATTTAAAAAGAAGAGAGAGAAAAGGCTGCTATGGAAACTGGAAACTGGATCCATATTTAAAGGCAAAAAATGTGAGCCTGTACGTTTGTTCAAGTGTTGATTTCATGGCTAGATTTAGTAGCTCCCATGAAATCATCATTTTTGTCTTGCAAAGATCCATATCATACAGGTTGTAGTTCGGTGCTGCATTACATTCCTGTGTCTGGTCCTGCATTCTTACACCTCTTGAGGAATCACACAGAGAATC